TTTCATTTCTGATTTTGTTAATTTGAATGCTCTCTCTCTCTGCCTTTTTGTTAATTTGGATAAGGGCTTGTCTATCTTGTTGATTTTCTCAAAGAACCAACTCTTTGTTTCATTGATTCTTTATATTGTTCTCTTTGTTTCTATTTTATTGATTTGAGCTCTCAATTTGATTATTTCCTGGTGTCTATTCCTCCTGGATGAGTTTGGTTTTGTTCTAGAGCTTTTAGGTGTGCTGTTAAGTCACTAGTGTGAGATTTCTTCAACTTCTTTATGTGGGCATTTAGTGCTATGAATTTCCCCCTTAGCACTGCTTTCATAATGTCCCATAAGTTTGGATATGTAGTACATTCATTTTCATTGAATTCTAGGAAGTCTTCAATTTCTTGCTTTATTTCTTTCTTGACCCATTGGTGATCAGTTGAACATTATTCAGTTTCCATGAGATTGTAGGCTTTCTGTAAATTTTTTTTTTTGCTGTTGAAATCTAACTGTAAGCCATGGGGGTCAAATAGAATACAGGAGTTTATTCCATTTTTTTTAATCTGTTGTCATTTGCTTTGTGACTGAGTACGTGGTTGATTTTAGAGAAGGTTGCATGGGGTGCTGAGAAGAAGGAATATTCTTTTTTTGTAGTGGTGGAATGTTCTGTAGCTATCGATTAAGACCATTTGAGTCATAACATCTGTTAGGTCCCTTATTTCTCTGTTAAGTTTCGAGCTGGCAGATTGGTCCAGTGGTGAGAGTGGGGTGGTTGAAGTCTCCCACTATTAATGTGTGGGGTTTGGTGTGTGATTTAAGCTTTAGTAATGTTTCTTTTACATATGTGGGTGCCCTTGTATTTGGGGCATAAATGTTTAGAATTGAAACTTCATCTTGTTGGATCTTTCCTGTGATGAGTATGTAATGTCCTTCATGATCTCTTTTGATTGATTTTAGTTTGAAGTCTATTTTGTTAGATATTAGGATAGCTATACCAGCTTGTTTCTTAAATTCATTTGATTGGAAAGTCTTTACCCAGCCTTTTACTCTGAGGTAGTGTCTGTTTTTGAATTTGAGATGTGTTTCTTGTATGCAGCAGATGGGTCCTGATTTTGTATCCATTCTGTTCGCCTGTGTCTTTTTATAGGTGAATTAAGTCCATTGCTTTTAAGGAATATTAATAACCAGTGATTGTTAATTCCTATTATCTTTTGGTGGTAGTGTGTGTGTGTATTTCTCTTCTTTGAGATTTACTGCTGTGGGGTATCTATTGCCTGTGTTTTCATGGGTGTATCTGACTACTTCCTTAGGTGCTTCCTGTAGGGCTGGATTTGTGGATAGGTATTGTTTAAATCTGGTTTTGTCTTGGAATGTCTTGTTCACTCCGTGTACGATGATTGAAAGTTTTGGGGGGTATATTAGTCTAGGCTGGCATCCATGGTCTCTTAGTGTCTGCATTATATCTGTCCAGGTCCTTCTGGCTTTCAAAGTTTCCATTGAGAAATCGGGTGTTATTCTGATGGGTTTGCCTTTATAAGTCACTTGGCCTTTTTCTGTTGCTGCTCTTTCTTTCTTTATTCTGTATGCTTAGTGGTTTAATTATTATGTGGCAAGGAGACTTTTTTGTTCGGTCTACTCTATTTGGTGTTCTATAAGCTTCTTGTATCTTCATAGGTATTTCCTTTTTAAGTTGGGAAAGTTTTCTTCTATGATTTTGTTGAATATATTTTCTGTGCCTTTGAGTTGGTGTTCTTCTCCTTCTTTTATCCCTATTATTCTTAGTTTTGGCCTTTTCATGGTGTCCCAGATTTCCTGGACATTTTACGTTATGACCTTTTCAGCTTCAGTGTTTTCTTTGACTGACGAATCTATTTCCCCTATTGTAGCCTCTACATCAGAGATTTTCTCTTCCATCCCTTATATTCTGTTGGTTATGCTTGCATCTGTGTTTCCTGTTCATTTACTCAGATTTTCTATTTCCAGCATTCCCTCTGTTTGTGTCTTCTTCATTGTTTCTATTTTACTTTTCAGGTCTTGAACTGTTTCCTTCACATGTTTAATTGCTTTTTCATGGTTTTCTTGGCTTTCTTTAAGGGATTTATTGATATTTTTCAATTTTTTTGTCTTTTCCTCAGTTTCTTTAAGGGAATTTTTCATTTCCTCTTTAAAGGCCTCTAGCATCTTCATGAAGTTATTTTTAAGGTCACTTCTTCTACATTGTGATGTTCCAGTCTTGCTGTTGTAGAAGGGCTAGGTTCTGGGGATGCCATATTGCTCTTTATGTTGTTGTATGTATTTTTGCACTGGCATCTAACCATCTCTTCCTGCAATAGATGAAAGAGGTGCCTGTGTTTGAGCAAGCTGCTATTGGTCCACTCTCTGATTGCTGTGTCTGTGGCACAGGGGGACCCTCTGGGTCCAGTCTTAGCTCTTGGTCTAATTGGAGCTGGTAGATTCTGTATCTCAGGGAGCTGCTCTTAGTCCAATCTAAGCTAGCTGATTCTGTAGTTCAGGGAGCTGCTCTTGGTCTTATTAGGGCTCTTGGTCCAGTCAGAGCTGATGCATTCTGTGTCTCAGGCAGCCATTCTTGGTCCAATGATAGCTGGCAGATTCTGTGTCTCAGAAATTTTCGTTTCTTTTCAGTAACAATAAGATGAAAAGGCAAGAGGACCAACTCCTTAGAAAATGATGCCTAAACTCAGCTGCCTGTCCATAAAAGGAGGGCTTAGAAACACAGTGACATATCTTCATCAAGTCCACTTACTAAGCAAATCTCCTACAACTTCAAGACCTTTGCTAATAAACAGCATGTGCTTCAAGACAGCTAACTTTTATGATCAAATCATTAATACCATCAGCATTGAAAGGTCAGATACCAGAATACTTAAAAGTTGTAGTAACAATTTATCATAAGAATATTATCGATATATTATATTGTATTATATTATACTTATTTCTAGTTGATATATTGTGCACTCTAATAAACTTATCTGGGGGTAAGTGAACAGAACAGCCATAATATTAAACATAGAGGTTAGACAGTGGTAGCACACACCTTTAATCCTAGCATTCCAGAGGCAAAGATCCATCTGGATCTCTGTGAGTTCTAAGCCACACTGAAAACAGTCAGGCATGGTGATTCACTCACACCTTTTATCCCAGGAAGTGATGGCAGAAAACAGAAAGGTATTTAAGGCATGAGGACCAGAAACTAGAGCTGGTGAAGCTTTTAGGCTTTAGAGCAGCAGTTCAGCTGAGATCTATGTGGATGAGGACTCAGAAGCTTCCAGTCTGAGGAAACAGGATCAGCTGAAGAATTGGCGAGGTGAGGAAGCTGTGGCTTGTTCTACTTCTCTGATCTTCCAGCATTCACCCCAATACCAGGCCCTAGGTTTGTTTTTATTAATAGGACCCTTTAGAATTCATGCTATACTTATTATATTATATGTTAATATTATACATCAGGAATCATTTATTCAGGAGAATGGGATAAATGTGGCTTTTGTGGTTTCAAATTAAAATCCTCCAGGAAAAGGTTAAAGGAAATTGTGTGTTCATTTTGAAGATGAGTAGATCAGTAAGTGTTTTTTTTTTAACATTTTTTCAGCCTTTCTGAATGTAGTTACTTATGTAACTACAGAATCATAAAAAATGTTAAGCATTTTCTCAATTTATCTAAGTGTGATACATAACCACTAGCATTCTGATACAAAAAAAAAGGGAAGTTCATTCACTACATACAGGTGTATCTGAAATCATCAGAGCTTGGTTCTTACATCTATCAGATGTTATCATGAGGATGGATTGGCTAGATGGCAGAGCATCTTTGACACTATGGAGCCTAGACAATGCTTTTGAAAAACAGAGCATGATGTGTAAGATAAAGACAGATTCCTAAAGATAACATAATTAGCATCATGTGAGTCAACTGTAAACATTTTTGGATTTTGAAGCTCTGCTATCTTCCTATAATTGGAAGTGCAGGACAATGTGATTAAGAATATGAGTCATAATTTTAGCCTCAATTGTAAATCTATGTGCTTGATCATCCCAGTGTGAGAGCAGTGAAGAATCCCTGCTGTTAAGGGAAAACAGAGATGTGCTAATGTGGTAATACAGCTAAGAGATGACAGCTAGAGATTCATTTTCTGTTGGAAGAACTTGGCTCACGATGCAGAGGAATGTCTATCTCTGGCATCAAAGAGGACAAGGAAACTTCACATTGACAAAGAGAAGCCTCATGACAAAGGATCCCTGAAGGGAGTCACAGCATACAAGGTTGCTTAGGTTCTTTAGAGAAACCTCTTGTTTGAGTTCTAATATTCTTCATTCTAAAAGATAATGCTTTCTTGTATATAAAACTGCTTTACTGAATACATCTTAAAATAAACTATTGTTATTTAGAATTAAAAAGGATTTCATGAAGCAGTTCTTGGAAATTCAGAATTTGATACTCAAAAAATTGCCTAGTTTTCTTACATCTGTTTCTATGGTGAATGCAGAGATAGAATTTTGCAAATATTACTAGCTAAATTCCAAGTGTTTGAAGACCTGCTGTACAGTTTGTCATGGTGAGTGATCTTTCAGTTACATATCCACATATTCACAATTCCAGAATGTACATCAACATCTCTTGGATTATACTTCAAACTACACGTGACTTTTCTAATGATCCTTTAAGGAATATTTGGACCAGGCATCTGTCATACTGTGGATACAATCTGTTTTCTTTGGCAACTTATTATTAATGTAAAATGAGAGTCCATATTGGTCTTTGCTCATGTAGGCAGCTCACATGAATAACATGAGGCTAGAAATGAACAATGATAAGCAATTGCTGACTTCCAAGACTTTGAACATCTGAGCACACATATCTGGTGTAAATGTGTATTGTATTCACAGGAGTTTCTGTTGAAGTAAAGACAAGATTGGAATAGTTAAAATAGGATAATGTTTTCAACTGACAATCATATAAAACTTGTCTTGGCTTTTCCTAACCACTGCACATTTTCCATTCATAGCCACTGAAGAGCAAGAAAATGAATCTGTGCCTCTGTCCTTAAGACCAGATGTTTTAAGTAAGTCACAGTTAGATGACTGCCCAAGGGACTCTGGCTGTTATATCTCATCAGGAAACTCGGATAATGGCAAAGAGGACCTGGAGTCAGAAAATCTGCCTGACATGGTACAGAAGATTGCCATCACAGAACCCAGTGACTGAACACACATTCACATCTCCTTATCTACAGAGGAATTCCATTTGAACTCTTCATCTGCTACAAGATCAAACGGAAATGTTTCAAATGCATCCCAAAGTGCAAATTGTTTTAATATGAATGATTGCACATACAAATTTATATCTCTAAATTTCCAGTGAGTGTGTGTAAAATGTATATTTATTAAATACTATGTGTTATAGTTCATCTACCTATATTAGAAAAATGATATAATGCAAGATACCATGCCTGTGCATGGTATATGCTGTACTTACCTTTATTTCACAAGTGTATAAATATAAAAATATAACCATGAAAACTGTGTATTTATATATATTATTGAATATATTATAGAAGGTATTTCAGTTGAACTGATTTCTACAGACAGCATATACATTTTTTTTAATTGCTGGAAAACGTAGTCTGAGATTAGATACTTTGTTCTGATCAAAGGTGGAGTTTTACTAACGATTTTCTGTTTATTTCTTCATTCTGTTATCTAATATGCAGATGGAGTTAACAATACACTTTCTGCTTTGATTTAGTGAAAATAATTGTAGAGGTATTTTATTTTTATATGTAAATATTTTTAATTTTTCTCAACCATAATAATAAAATATACCATGTACATATTGTATTTACAAGGCTAAAGTTACTTAAGGTATTTTAATATTATATTTTAGAGTAGTTTCTGTTAGAACATGTTGTATAGTCAGTCCTCAGTTAGGAAACTATGGATTCTGAAAGCATCTTCTAATCCCAGATCCATGTAACTGAACTCGTGAATACTCCAGATTTCAGCTTGACATGCTCAAACATTTCATTTTCACTGTAAAATTGTCTCTCCTATTTTCTTTCTACCCCATCATTTTTTTTAAACCAAGAGCTAGTTACTGAGATGGAAAGTTATTTTATTCTTTGATCTGCTTTTATCTTCCTCAGACAAATTCACAAATGTGGATCCTACCTCTTGAAATTCTTGTAATATTTATAACATCTCATCCATTCCCAGGACTCCTGTCACATTTCGGACTCTTGTGTGGAATGTTGTAATGTCTTTCCAATAGATATCCCATCTTCAAATCTATCCCCACATAGTCTCTAGAAAAATATTCACGACTCAAATAAAATCATTCTCCTTGCTTAAAACATTTGATGGCTTCTCATTAACTTGAGTATAACATGTAAACACATGAAAGTTCTTTGCAGAGGACTTTGAACCCACCTTATGAGTCTTCTCTCTGACCTCACTTTGCAGTGCATAATCTACTTATAGTCTTCCAAATCCTCTATTCCCTCCATGACTCTCCATGTATGGTTTCAGTATATGTTTTCAGTGCCTTTCCTGATCTTTTTTTCAGCCGAATCCTCCCTCTCTTCTGTCCTCAAACTTCAACAAAAGAGTGGCTTGCTGTGCTACAATTTTGTGAGCTCCTTCTGTGCTTTGTTCTTTGTATGTTCAAGGCCCCCTTATACATAGTTGGTTACAGAAATCCTCTATTTATTTACCTGATAGCTGACTTTACACAAGACTGATCTCCTCCTGATAGATTTTATTTGCCCAGGCTTTTAACTACCCAGAGTGTAGTAAAATCTGGCTGAAGAGGAACACTTAGGAAACAGTTGCTAGAGTTTATTGAGTTTGGTGATTATTTCCAATGTACAACTGTACCTTTCCAGTTAAGTCACTCTTACCAACCTACAGGTGAATGCCTCCAATTATCAAAAAGTTTTTGAAGACAATGTGGAGTTGGACAAATGGCTCAATGTTTAAGAGCACTTGCTCCTCAATCATGAGATCTGGAGATTAGATCCCAGCAACCAAATGAGTGGCTCACAAACATTTGTAAGGGCTCCAAGAGATCAGATACACTATTCTGGCCCCCATGGACAATCTCACACATGTGTGCTCATATAGTTATACACACACACACACACACACACACACACACACACACACACACCCTGAAATAAGATGCCTGGATGGTTGGCTTGAGTGTTTAGAGCATAGACTGCTCTTTCAGAGAAACTGAGTTTAATTCCCAGCACCAGTACCCAGTAGTGCACAAGCACCCGAGACTTAAGATCCAGAGGGATCCAGCTCCTGTAGCTTCTGCATGTAACTTCATCCCTACGAACATTCCTCAACCCAGACATGCACAAACACAGCATTCAAATAATCAAAACACATCTTACAAAATAAGAAATAAAAGGTAACAGAGAACGGCCAGGCAAGATAAAATGTTATTCTGAATGCTGAGGACAGCACAGTAGTTCTAGTCTTGTTAACAGATCTAATCTCACCAGCAGTGTCATAGCAGGTGTGACGCACACCGTTATGTCGATTTCCTCCTCAGTAAAGTATGCTTTTCCTGACTATGGTTACCACTCTTAGTAGATTAGTCTAGAAACTGGTTTGGGACACAGCACAGAGACTGACCTCAGCTTTTCTCTTGAACTATACTAACCGCCACTCTCTCAGTTTGTTCAAGAGAGTGTAACATTTTTATGGTGATGCAAGGAAACTCTAGATTGGAAAAAAAAACTGTGAAACCAACTATTAATAAAACATTGCCAATCTCCTACTGAGTTAAACTCTTTCACAATTTCTATCCCTTGAAAATGAAACTTTCATACCAGTTGAGGATTTAAGGTCATCTTTTTGGAAGTAGCCTTTAAGGAGACAATAGCAAAGAAAAGTCTGGGCTCTTACAAAAGGGAGAAGAGAGAAGTAGAAAAACAAGAAGCTAAAGTAGCCAAGAGAAAGGACTGAACATGGAAAGCTGTCCTGATGAGGACATTTCCACAGAAACATGTCCCTATCCAAGATGCTGCTGCATTTCTTTAATACTAAGTCCCTGGACTTAGAGCATCCGTCTGCTCAATGCAAAGGAGGTCAGGCAAACAACTATTAATGTCACCTATCAATCCACCTGTTGATCATATGTGGATCACTGAAAGGAAAGAAGCAGAAAAGCAAGGGATCACCAAAAGTTGGTGGGCTAAGGGAACTGTAGCTTCTGCTTTGTTTCTAGAAGGAAGTTTGAGTCTGAGTTCTTTAAAAGCAGATGAGGAGATAGAAAGCCACGAAGCTAATATTTACAGGACATTCTTATTGGCTCTGTAGGTTTAAACCTGGCAAGATGCCCAATCACATGCATTATTTAGACTTGGTCAATAAAGGTCTTTTGGACCAAACAATGCGCACTAGGAAGACAGCAGAATCCACCTGTTGTAACTAATTGTGTACAGGTAGTTTTATACAGTTGTAAAACCTTTCTTGTTTGCAGGGATTACCTAATCCCAGAGGTTTCCTATATTTGTAGATTTTAGCTATGACAGTCAATAACGTTAGAAAAATTTCAGCTCCACCAAATTTTCTAATATAAAACAATCTTCAATACATGGAATTGAATCCTGTACACTGTAAATGTAAGGCAAGAACTAATCACTCACTTCTATCCTTTATTATCATTATCATTATTATTATTATTATTATTATTATTATTATTATTATTATTACTGTTGTTGTTTTTCAAGACAGGGTTTCTCTGTGTAGCTTTGGTGCCTGTCCTGGATTTCACTCTGTAGACCAGGCTGGCCTTGAAATCACAGAGATCTGCCTCTGCCTCCCCAGTGCTGGGATTAAAGGCATGTGCCACCACCGCACAGCTGTTTATTTATTTATAAGGTACACTAGATTGTCCAGAGTGGCTTTAATTTTTTGATCCGCCTGCCTCAGCCTCCTGAGTAGCTGGAATTACAGTCCTGCACTGTGGGAGACCACTTTCAGGTTCCTAGTGGCTTTACCCAGCACGTCTGCATAGAGAGTATGATTGGACCCACGGCCTGAGTGCAGGTGTCTGAGATGGTCTGCACTTGGCTGTACTGGGGGGAGGTCTTTTGTTCCACCCCTCAGCATTCCTTTATATACCCTAGGGCAGAGACAGTCGGGGCCCATTGGAATAGGTTCTAGGCCCTCTCGAGGCTATCTTGTATTTTTTATCTTTAACACCCCCTGCCCCGCCCCGTCTATATTCTTCTAACTAATATTTCCTGCTGCTCCTACTCAAGAGCACTCTGGGGAAACGTGGGGCTGATGGGTAGCCCCTCCATACTGCATCATCAAATCCAGTTTAGTTTTTTGTTTGTTTGGTTTGTTTTTTTGATAAATACAAAATTCAGAACACTTTAGTTCTGGTTTTCCATTTATTCTATAACTGATATTTATAAGTCTGAATATTATCTTCAAATGAAAATGTTACTAGCAGCTTTTTGTTTTTTTTTTAAATCATATTGCCAAGGGGGATAGATTAAAAAAATTTTAAAGAAAATGATCAGTAGCTGACTATTTGGTTTCAGACTAGTTTCATTTCACTGAGTTTATAGCCACGTGTCTTGCAACTTCCTGAGTGTGGCAAAATTGATGACATTTAACATTGAGAAATTTCCGCTGTAAGCATAAGTTCTGAGAAAAATATATGTAGAAACTTTGAGCTATCCCCTCGGCTTACACACATGTACTGCCCCATACTGCCACCAAAAGACTTCATAACTAATTAGCATTAAGGTTTCCAATACTCTTGATAACGTGAGACACCCTGCTAAATTTATGAGAAGGCTCATAGATAAGTGATTAGAATCTAAGTAGAGGGTGAAAATAATCACAGTTTCTAACTCTGAAGAGGTGTTTTAGCAGGAGGAATAAAAGAGAATTCACTCTGACTTTGTTCTGCTTTCAGTTTACACCTGCATTCCTCTGAGTACTTTCTCTGCATGCAGACCTACAGACTAACGGTTATGGGATTGAACCATCTGCTTTTGAGACAAGGGACTCTACCCAGGCATTTATCACCAAAAAGTGATGCTTTTATCTAAAAATGATATAAATCACAGTATATTTATATGAGGCCCTCGACACAGTACATGTAGTGTTTGTATAAAAGTCACTATGGTTTTTATATCCACAACTTCATTTTCCCCTACCTAGCGTAGCTATAAGATGGAAGCAGTACTCATTCTATGATCACCCAGGTATGTACTTAGAGTATCTTGAAAGTCTTCAAACATACATGGCCTGGGGTCTGCAGAAAAACTGTGCTGGCCAGAAGCAATGAAGGAGGGTCAGCTGGTCAGTGAGTTTTTTCCTGGCACGTCATTTTTTTGTTTGCACCTGATCAGTTCAGAGAGAAACTATACTGCACTTAGCCTTAGCTCTATACTCTCAATACATGGCATGAGTAATCATTTTAGTAATGAATTATTAAACATATAAATGATTGTTTGATGAGTGGAAAAATTAAAATTGGGATTGCCATTGCCATGGACCTTGGTTTCTCATAAATTACAGAGCCTCAGCTGCCTGGGCTACAGGCAACAGAGAAGCCCTTAGAAGACATCCTAGATGTACATATTAACATATACACAAAGCTTACACACATCTAGGGAGAAGATTGTCATGGGAAATCAAAGTGCTACCAGGTTACATATACCAGGTATATGTGCTTTCCACTGTTCCCCTTCTGCATCTGCATCATGAAAACCCCTCACATTTCCATTTCCAACACTTAGTTTTGGTTTGTGCTATGTTTAAAAAATTTAAAAACCATAAGAGAAAAATGAAAAAAAAAATGGCTTTAGTATATTCAGTGATGTCTTTTGACCTTCTGGGATCCCAAGCAAGCCTAAGTGCAAAATACTGTTTTCTCATAGGGCAGGAGTAGACTTGTGATGCACAGGCTAAGAGGATCATTTTCTCTTTCAGTTCTTGGGCACCAGGCCAACAAAATGGGCAGGAACCATGCCATTTGCAGAGGAAAATGGGGTGAAAAGCACTTCTGGCATACTTTGTCCATATAAATTATACTTGTTTGCAATTCATCAACTCGATCTCTCTTTTATATCCATATGTAATGTAAATGATCATCTTTCTCTGAAGCTCAGTAATGATGCACAACTCAAAATGTGATAGAATCAGCTAAAAGAAAGCAGATGGGAGGTTTTTTCCCTGTATGCATATTCATAAAAATACAGAGAACTCAACAAAAGGAGATACATAAGAGCTCGTACCCAGAGGCTACAGGGACTTACATAGAGCACTAACTTGTTTTTCTGCAACTGTTTATTCTTCAAACCTTTACTCATGTCTTCC